AGGATGTTCCAGCTGATACTGAAATTCAAATAAAAATAGAGCATCACAATGAAAGAGAAGTAACTGCATGACGTAAGACATCATTTGTGTATCGGACGTATGGAAACTCTTTTACAAAAACATGGATAAGCCTCAGTAACATTATGCAAACTGCAATAAGCCAGACAAAAAACCCAAATATGGTGTGATTTCACTTATCTGCAGAATCGGAAGAGCAGGGCTCAAGCCTGTGGACGGCAGCTGCGAGGAGCTGGAAAGCGGCTACCGCTCTCAGGCACAAACCTCAGTGACCGGAGGAAAGTTCTGGGACATAATACACAGCAGTGGGCACCAACACTCCCTTAGACACCTGAACGCCACCAGCAGAGGTCTGAACGTTCTCGCTCCCAGAGTAGTCGTGTGAGCCCCTGGGTGTGCTCATTTTATTGTGCAAATCACTTGCGGAAGATACCCAGGCATCAAATAATCACTTCGCTGTGTCTGTTGCATTTCAACAAAGCTGGCTAACGGGGCGGTAATGAAGAGCAAGGAAGAACTTGAAATATGGTTTCACTAAGATTTCAAAAGCTGAAGATGGAAATGTAACTACTGTGCAGACTTGAATCCCACACACTGCACGAGCAGGACCGAGCCGGAGCGCAGAGGCCGCGGGGTGCCCACACCCAAGGCGGGAGGTGGCACACAACTGCCGCCCACACTCACTGTGCCCAGGTTAGGGACGGAGGACTGAAAACCCAGCGCTGGCTGAGCCTCCCTCCTCAGTCAGGGTCTGCGGGAAGCACCGCCAGCCTTTCAGCGTTTATTGGGGTTTTCTGGGGGGTGGGGAGGCCGCAGCCTGATACGTGTCACTCACTGTACTCTCTGACAGTGGCCTCAACCTCAAAACTTGAGCTTCCCAACAATATAACAGTTTAAAGCACCTTATGTAGCTGTGGTAAAGATTTAAATAACTGCTACGAGTACAGAGTGCTTACAACAGAGTCTAGAACTCAGCGAGTGCTCAAAAGCAGCGCTATCTGGCGTGCTGAGCACACCGGGCGGACTATGGTCCTGTCTCTTGGCCGTCACTAGTTCTACCACTATCGCGGCAGACGGTACACCTCCCAGATTCTCTAACTACAAAATAACAGCTCTGAGCTCTTCAGCTTCTATAATTTTATATTCATGAGACATGCAAATACATAAAAGCATGTAGCCAGCTCAGTGATGGGAAACCCATGGGGATCACAATTGAGATGAAAAAAAAAATGTACAAAATGATGTAAAAATAAACTATTATTTAAAAAAAAAAACCACAGCACTAAGAAGCTAAAAAAAAAATGTAGCCAGAAATACCTTGAAATGCCTTTATTCACATAAAAACTAAACCGTAGTATTTGCCATAGTGTGCTGTCCAATAGTAAAATATTGAAAGTATATAAGTATTCTGGAAGATAAAATTGACTAAATATATCACAAAACAACAGAAAGCTTTCATAATCACTGTTAAAGCAGCTATTACTAGTGAAAAGTTCACAAAAACCTACTTAGAAGAAATTTTGCAAAGCTGCATGCCATGACTGTTGTAACTTCCCATGCGATTTCAACTGAGAAAGGCACAAAACTATTACAAAAGCAGGTATTTCTAAACAACATGATTTCCACTCACCTACATGTTTTATATGGAACAGGAAACTTTTAAGCATGAAGTTAGTGAGTGTGGAAATCCACATCATCTTGGTCACGAAATGACGAGTTACTGAGACACTCGCGGGGGCGAAACAAAGGCGATGCCACGGCCACGAGGCCACGGAAATGCCAGGCGGCTGCAGGTGGCAGACACCCTCGGGGTGGGCTCCAACTGCTGCCTGAGCTGCCTGAGCTCTCTTGGGATGAGGTGGGGTTCAGTTACCAGTACTATATTCTGTTCTTGAAATTTACTGGGAGACTGAAAGGGAGTTCAGGAAACATTCATGAGGGATCAGACCAATGACAGGTGAAACAGCACTATGAAGCTGATGGGGTCACATAATATAATAAAGTAAAATAAATACATCTTGCTCCATTCCGCTAACATCACGAGTCAGATTCATGTTCACTTCAGCAGATGAAAGCTGAAAACAAGAGGTTCTCCCAGGACCTAACCTCAGACCCTAGATTTTCAAGACTATGGCTAACTCATACGTGAGAGAGAGAGAACTATGTTAAAATATCCTTTCGTGTTTAATGTAATCAACAGGAAAAGTATATTTAGTATAGAATGGAAGAATACAAATTTAACAGGACAAAGATATACTTTTAAACATTAAAAATAGAAATTTTCTAAATACATATTAAAAGCGGCTCAGTACCAAAAAATTACAAACACTACAGAAATAATCAAAAATGCATGCGTTCTTACACATAATTCAAGTGTCATCATTTATACTTAAAAGATCTATGACCGCACGGTCTAAATAAAACCGCACGAGCCCGACTGCGCGCGGCTCGGCAG